TCGTTACTAAAAATAACAGGAATATGGATTATTCTGAATTTTGTACGTGTATGATTAATAATTGAGATATTTTGTCAGAGATGGATATTTTATTTGACAAGGTAGCGCAATTGTATTAAAGTTTCTAAGTTTAGGTACGAATTGACTTTTTCAAAAGTCAACTCATTAAATTTTAAAAGTTTAATGACTAACGGGTTTACATGGGAAACCAAAAAAACCCTAAACCACAAACAATCTATTTTTCCCCCCTTCTTTATATAAACCGATGTTGCCCAAAAGGCTTTTTCTCGCCACATACTTGTAAAAGATAAAAGAAAAGATAAAAAGAGTACACAAAATATGGGTGAGGTGGCTTATATGGACGAAGGAGACTTAGAAGCAATAGTTAGAGGCTACTCCGGCTCCGGTGAAAGCTCCGGTGGGTTTTCACCTCCGTTTTGTCTACCTTTTGAGACGGCTAGTTTCTACGAACCGGAGATGGAGACAACCGGTTTAGACGAACTTGGTGAACTCTATAAACCCTTTTATCCTTTCTCCACACAAACGATCCTCACGAGCTCGATCTCTGTCCCCGGCGATTCCAGAAGTTTCCGAGGTGAAAAGAAACAACGACCACATGGTTGTCTTCTATCTAACGGATCAAGAGTTGACCATCTCCGAATCACAGAATCCAAATCGAAGAAAAGGTTAGTATTCTTGAAGTTCATGAGATGATTTCTTTAAATTTTGCGCAAAATGTTAAATAATCTTAAAATGATAATATCATATCAGAAAACTGATTTTATGTTGTCTTAATAAAGATTGTAAATGATTAGTAATCTAATTTCAGAAAGCAAATAAGTAGTTAGAAATATATAGAGTTCAGTACCAAAATGGTTTTGTTTTTCAATACTCATAAACAATATGTTCATTGTTTGACTAATTAAATAATAAAGGAATTTTAAATTTATTGAATTTGGACAGCAAAAAGAATCAACAGAAGAGAGTTGTTGCGCAAGTGAAGGAAGAGAATCTGTTGTCAGATGCATGGGCTTGGCGTAAATACGGGCAGAAACCAATCAAAGGATCTCCATACCCAAGGTCTTAAACCAATCCCTTGTTTGATTTCATCTTCTTCTTTTTTTCTTAACCAAATATATATATATATAACTGTTTTAACTTTGCGTATTACTACTACTTCACCATGG